TAGATTTTGCCTTCTCATTCACACATCTTTTATTCTAGCACTACTCTTTTTTCATACTGATTAGTTCAACTTAAATAAAGGTACCTAAAAGAAGAGGATTTGAACAGTGAAATTAGTCTTCTATTTCCACAGTTATTCTTCCCATACCAGACTCTATGCATTAGATTCATGCTTGGGGGAGAAACAAAACAAATTAATCACTGAGGTAAGATCTCTATGCAAATACAGGGAAAACATCACTGCTAGACCTCTAACTGCATTTGCAGGAGCCATGAAAATATACAGGAGAAATGCAAACTCCAAACAGCTTCAAAAAAAAAAAAAAAAAAAAAAACCAGAAACATTTGGTGACCACATGTCAGAGACCATTCCCTGAATTTGATTGCTGTACTGTTGGTCCAAACCAAAAGATTTCAATAAGTTTTCCTGATTCTTAAGTTTTATCCTCAAGCAGACTCTTTCTATGAAGTTACTTTGCAAATCTGCTTTTTCAATTTTCTGAGTAGGTTTGAGAGGATGGGGGCAGGGGGTGCACACGCACACATACACACATATATATATATAAACTTGTTTTCTCCTGGAAAAGAAAGGCCCTAAGTAATTTCCAACATCCACTGTAATGCAATAATGCATGCAGCTGTCAATACACATCAGCATTCAAAATAAATAATTAAGCAATTTCACTATCTATTTAATGGTCATGACAGAGAGGAGTGGCTTTAGTTGCTGTCCAGATAAGCTGGGCTTCCTTCTGCTAACACTGTCTATTAAAATTGATAAAAACCTTATCTCCTTATCTTGCTATAGAAATCTTCATGGTGAAACAGCTCTCTCCATCATCACTGGGTAGTGTTAGCACCAGGAAGAGCTTCTGCTGCAGTGTCCCTGCGTGAGGAGCAATTCCAGGATTCCAGGGTCCTGATTCTGACAATCTCAACACACTCTGATGAAATTAGTACCTCTCAGAGTAACTGACTTACAGCTCCACAGGAGTTATTAGAGAAAGAAACTCAGCTCACAAGAAGCGCTGTAATAATTTGCAATATTAATAGTTACTTGGCTGAACACCCCTTTTTCACTTCAGTGGATTTGTTGAAGTTGCTCCACATGCTTTCCTACAGCTCTGCAGCTTCACTCCAACAATTCATTCAGGCACACGCTCGCTGGCCACCCTCCACAGACTGGATCTGTACATTTGACTACTTCAGGGGGAAAAAAAATCCAAGCGTTATTTGCCTCAAGGCACTTTAACTAAAGATTTACAGACTTTGTGGGTCAGGTTTCAAGTTGCTTTAGCAAGCAATTTCAAACCATAGACATTTACCAGAATATTAGAATTTGTTTAAAACACAGAAGTAGAATCAGAAGCTGAGACATTTTACAAGAAAACAGCATACACTTCTTTCCTCTCGAACTCTTCAAGGGGCATCACTCCTAAAACAGTGCAGCATGTGTTGGGGGAGAGGAACTGTGTCTCCCCTTCATTCACAAGGGTGAACTTGGTGGTGGACTGCAGAAAGGGAGAGGCAGACTGCCCTCCCACATCTTGAGGCAGGAAAACAGACTCGGCAGTCTGGGATATTTAATAGCTGGGGGAAGAATGCTTTGGTTTGGAGGAACAGCTTTTGGCTTGCTGAAGTTATAATATGGAACAGAACACAGTAAAACATTTTAACCCAGCTATTTCTAGCTTTGGCAAACATGCTCTACCTTTCATAGAATGAGAAAATCCTGAGCTGGAAGGGACCCACAAGGATTAAGTCCAACTCCTGACCCTGGACAGGAGAGCCTCAAGAGTCACATTATGTGTCTGAGAGTATTGTCCCAACATTTTTTGAACTCTGCCAAGCTTGGTGCTGTGACTACTTCCCTGGGGAGCCTGTTCCAGTTTCACCCCCTTTGGGTGAAAAACCTTTCCCTGATAGCCAGGCTAAACCTTCCTGACACAACTCCACGCTAATCTCTGGGGTCCCATCACCAGTCACTGGAGAGAAATCAGTGCCTGCCCTCCGTTTCCCCTCATGAGAAGTTGGAGACTGTGATGAGGTCTCTCCTCAGTCTTTTCTTTGAGAAACTATTGCCAAGTCATGGTATTCCAATGTTTTATTCTCAGCATGCACCATCTGCCCAGCTGAGGTGCCAGGTGAAGGCTGGGTGAGTTTGATCAGCACCACTTGCTCCAGGCAGAGCTCAGAAAGTGCCAAAAGTCTCAGATGCAGGAAGCCAACATCACTAAACAGGGCTGCCTTCTGTAGAAAGGACACCTGAGAAGAGCTTGAGTTTTGCCCAGAAAATGACCATTCCTTCCCCCAAAGAAGCAGACATCCTCAACAGGCAGCTCCACAGTGACTCCAGCTCTTGTTACAGCCATTACTCCCAGCTCCCAACACATGAAATACAAGAGGTTGGGGACCACAGTTTAAGAGGTCTCTGCACTGTGAAGACTTCAGACATTCCTTGTCTGCATTATCATAAAATATGTCTCAACATGAACCTGAATTAAAGAACAAAGTCTTTCTTTAAGTAACACCAGATAACAGATGCAATTTTTTGTTGCTATTATTCTTAATCAAGCTCTTGTGCTTTTTTGGTTAGGGTTGTTTGGAGGTTTAGGTTGCAGGGGGTGGGGAGGCTTGGGGTTTATTTAGTTTTGGGGGTTTTTTTGTTGGTTTGGCTTTTTTGGGTTTTTTTTGGGTTTTCTTGGGTTTTTTTTTTTGTAGCATAAGAACTAGGAACAAATATTTGAGTGAGCCAGTGTCTGCCCTACAGCATGGAGAATTCAGCTGGCAACAGGCAGAAAAGGAACCTGACCAGGACACAGTTTCCTCTCACCAAAAACATCAAAAAAATACAGGGTAACATTTTTTCATGGTTTTGGGGTATTTTTTACTCCTCTTGGGATCTGACAAATACAGCTGCTCATTCCTGTTACTAAAAAGCCCTCAGCTTCAAGGTTGGAGGTTTTTTTTTTAAAGTCTCAGAGTCCATAAAATTCTCCATTGAAATACAGAAATATGTTAACAAAGCTTTCATTAGCAAAGGGAAAGAGTAACAGTTTACAAAGATATTTTGGCTTGTTCCCTTAAATACATAGTAGCTGGTGTCTGTATGCTTTCATCTCCTCTAATGTTAGGGAGAAGCTGGTACACAAAAACTTACCAAAACATCAGAAGTTCAAGTTCATAAATATTTGAAAATCTGCCTCCTCTTCAAAACTAATTGTTTAATCATTAGGACTCACCAAGTTTCACTGTCATGTATACACCACTTTGTTTCACCAAGACACACAAAACCTTGGGACACGCCTCATTACCCTAAAAATATCATTACTCTTCCATACAACGGAAATGGTTAGTCTTGGCTTTTTAATCCATCTGGATGTAAAGAGCAGAGAAACACAACAATTCTTCTGAAACACAAACCTCATTTCATAGGGAAATAAATATTTACATCTTCCTTTAACATTATGGAATTCCTAGCATCCTGTTTATCAATACCTTAAGGTTTGCAAGTTACTCTCTTTACAGTAAAATGTTTCTCCAAGGGGGAAGTTTAAAAGTTACTTTAAAATAAGAACAGCTTTCACATATCAAAGGATAGCCACACAAATTGGACTGGGCAAGGGGGAAGCTGAGCATATGTTTTTTCCCCCCTACACAAACAGTGCACACTACATACTCACATTATTTTGCTGGAGCTCCCACATGCTACTGGCAGGCAAGGACACAAAACCTTTTGTAGGAATGGTACAACCAGCCAGTATCATATGAAATCTAATAATAATTAAAACAAATCTCCAACCCCTTAAAGTAGGATTTTCAAAGTCAACATTACACCACCTTAATGAAGCTTTTTAAAGCAAGCTTTGCCAATTTAAAGAAAGCAATGTAAGAAAGGTATACGTGAGAGAGGAATGCTTTAATTACTTAAACTCACAGCTAGCTCTTACAGAATTGACACATGGGGAAGCCAGGACTGCTGTAATTACCTACATTAACAGAGGACACAAAACTGACACTTGTGGAGGTCATTCACCATATCCTTGCCTTTGGTGCGCTCACTTCAACATTCTCAATAGATTTTAAGCACTAGATGTCATTGTTTTACAGAGGAAACAAAGAAACCTGAACTCAGGTCTTGACAAGCTTTAAAAGATGAGGGGTAAAAAGGTAACAAACATCCTTTTTTTGATTATTTTCCCCTTCCAAAGTTACTGCGATAGTGATTCTGACAACACTACGTTTCATCTTAAGTGACTAAGCACAAAGAAATAAGCTTAACATGTTAAAATACATCTAAACCAGCACTCTAAAGCTCCTCTTTAAAAGCACACCATAACTCTGAGGGAGGCTGTTCAGTTTTCCTAACATTTCTCAGCTCCCAAGCCATCAGCCTCTCTCGCCCGGCCGATGCTGCCCTGGTCGCACTCAGGTACATGCGGGAACAAATCTCTCCCCAAGCTGTAGCACGTACCGCCCCGGTGAGGCTCGGGGTAGTCACACAGAAACACGGATATTTACGTCAAGCGCTGTGTGCAGTCAGACAATCATGTTTAAAAATAGGAGGGAAGAAAATGAGTGTTAATTTCAGGTTGCTCTCTGTCCTGAACTCTTTCGAGACAGGAAGGAGTGTCTTTAATTCAGACTGTCTCGGAGCAAGCGCTACAGAAGTAATTTACAAGATGCTAAGAAATTATAAGCCTTAACGACAGGAGAGCAACCAAGCCAGCCTTTAATTTGGATTGCGAGGAGGGGGCGGTGGCGATACCGCGCAGACAGACTTCTGCAAGTTGCCACGATACTTTCTAAAAATAGCAGTCCGCATGTGCCCACGGGGAGCCCAGGTTCGGGGCCGCGTCCCGGGAGCCGCTGCCGGCCGGCGGGGCAGCCCCGCGGGAGCGCGCTGCGCGCTCCGCCGTGCGGGGCTGAGCGGGACCCCGGCCCGGGCAGGGACCGGGGCAGCGAGGGGCCGGCAGCCAGCAGCACCGAGAGACGCCTCACCTCCAGCCACCGCCGGGCTTCGGCGAACGCCGCCTGGAAATCGTACTCCGCGTCCTCTCTCCCGTCCATGGCCAGCAGCAGCGAGCGGGGGGCGGCGGCGGCCGCTGTCATTCAGCTGCCTCCTTTTAACGCTGCCCGCGCCGTCTCCTCCCCCTCCGCCTCCTCCCCGCGGAACTGCCCCTCCCGGGAGCTCGCTGGCGCTCCGCGGCCGCAGGAATCCGGAGAGCCGCGGGCCGTGTGGCAGCGCCGGGACCCCCGGGGCAGCCGCACGCCCGGGAGGGGCCGCGCCGCCGCGGGCCTGGCGGCTCCCTCCCGCCGGGACGCGGCGCCCCTCGCGCTCCCGGCCGCTGGAGGCCGCCCCCGGCGGCTCCCGCCCCGGCGCATACCAGGAATAGCTGGGGACAATCGCACCTTTCAGGGCCGGCCCCGCCGCCCCGGCCCCCGCCACCTGCCGCCCCGCCCGGCCGGGACTGCCCAGCGCCCTCCCTCGCTGCGGCGGGGCCGCGGGAGCCCCGGGAGCCCGGGCCGCCTCCCTCACCTCCGCTCCGATGGGGCTTCCCCGGCCAGCCATGGGCAGCGCTCCCGGGGAAGCGGCTCCGCGCTCTGCAGCGTGTCCCGTCTGGGGACGAAGTTAGGAGCCTTTTCCTCAGCTACGGGAGGCATGAGAGACCCACGCTCTGTTTCCTACAAAGTGACCGAGGCGGAGGTGCCCTGGCTGAGCTGGAGGCGCACGGCTCGGCTTCCATGCTTCCCTCCCCAGCCCCGCCAGCCTCAACTCTGGTTTAGCTCCCACTACCCACACTAGGGCCCATCGCTCTGGCTCATTCGAGTCCCTGTGCCCGGCTCAGTGCAACAGATTTTTTGCGATTCCTCCATAGCACACGCTATCCCAGGCTCAGAGGTAAAGCCCGGTCTCAGCACGGCTCCACAGGTTGGGATCACGCTGTGCTGCAGCAAACCGGAGCACGGGAGGCAGGAGGGAGATGGTTTGCTGGCTGAACAGTGAAATACCTTCTTCCAAGTGCTAAGCAGAAAAGTTAAGTATCAGGGAGAAGAGCCGTTTTCTACAATACTAATCCATAGCATTAGGTTGTTGTGTTTTGGCTTTGGTTTATTTCGGATTTTCGGAGTACTAGAATTCATTTTGACATTGTATTTAAGCTCTCTACTCCTACGTGAAAGGAGGCTGTGGCGAGGTGGAGCTCAATCTCTTCTCCCAGGTAACAAGCAACAGGACAAGAGGAAATGACCTCAAGTTGCACCAGAGGAGGTTTAGATTGGATATAAGGATAAATTTTTTCAATGCAAGCATGCTCAGGCATTGGCACAAGCTGCCCAGGTATGTAGGGGAATCGCCATCCCTGGAAGTGTTCAAAATGTGTGCATGTTGTACTTGGGGACATGGTTTAGTGGTGAACATGGCAATGTTAGCTTAACATTGCGCTCAATGATCTTAGAGGTGTTTTCCAACTTTCACAATTCTATGATCTTTTCCTACTTGAACTTTTTGTAGTGTTTTTTTTCCTTTCCATGTCTTCTCTGTAAGTAAAACTGAGTTGCTGCACACATCTTTTGCTTTTATAGCCCATGGCAGAACGTATGTAATTTTTAAAGGACTACTGAGAAAAGATAACTTAAAGCTGTTGTACTACACACAAATTCACTTCTCCTGAGATGCTGACTTGGGAACACATCTTCTGTTTTACAAATACCTTCTTAGAATGGAGAATAAGAATTTTAGGAGATCAACAAGCCAAGAAGCTACGAACCATCAGTTTCTGTGGTATATGGAAATCAGTGTTGCTGGTGTTAGACTCAGGAGGGAAAATGCGGTGACTCTTGCTGAAATAAGTTCCACGGGAGAAATCTGGCCTTTTATTAAAGTTACAAATGTATAGAAGTTATGTAGTTAGCTCCTCACCATGGTATGATTTGAGACATCTATGCTATGGAGTCAGCAAGGAATAATATGATAACCAAAGCTGTAATTTGAAGGGGTTTTTTCTTACCCTTTTTTCTTGTTCCAAGCCAGATCAGCCACAAGACCAGATACAAATGAAGAATCTGCATTTTTCTTGAGTGGGAAGCCTGAACATCAAAAAACAACCCTCTCATCTCACTATTTAACATCCATGATTACAAAGCTTAAAAATAAGCGAAGTCTAAATAAAACATGTATCAGCTACTGCTGCTGGCTGACATCAGTTTGCATTACCTGAGGTTACCAAACATTTTTCTGGAGAACTACAGCAGCCTTTCTCCAGTTTTTAAGGACTTTCACTTCATCTAAGAGTACAGTGCTTGTCCCTAAGTAGGAGAAAGTAACTAAGAATTCTATAAAACAGGCTTCAAAAGAGGTCATGTTAAAAAAAAAAAATCACATTTCTCACTTATTTCTGGTTACTTTATTTCACTTCATAACAAATCAAGTCACTTTTCTTACAAATGAAGAGTTTAATGTTTTAGATCAAGTAATTCAAGTAATTTGAGTAATCATGTAATTTGATTAAGTGTTTAAGTAGACTGCATGGATCACAGCAGCTTTCAAGTCGAAGTTCCTCACTAAGTAAAAAAAGTTCCAACATGTAAATCTCATCCTCAAAGTGAATTTTAAATCAACTGTCACAGATAAATTATCTATGTGAGCCTGAGCACCCAAAATAGTTTTATTATTCCTTTGCACTAACAATGTAAGTCACCAGAGTCCTAGATCAGAGAAAGATTACATATACCAGATATGACTGCTAATTGTTGCTGTCAAAAGTAGCAAATGTAATATTGTTCTACCAGACAAAAATAAACCCTTTCAATGTGTGTGCTCCTGGGGATAAGTCAAGCAACAGCTTATGTCATATTCTTTTCAAGGAGGGTTCTACAAATATTTGACACAATAATATTTTCTACCAAGGCAGGCTTCTTTCTTTAAGGGAAGACCGTACTTATTTTGTAAGTGTGGGCTGTTAAGTCTCTTTATTTTCAAACATACATTTCAATGTCAAAAAACAACTTTCTTCTTCTTCCCTTAAATGAATCATGCAGCCATGACTGAAAGGAAAGGGCATTGTACTGGTTATTAAATTATCATTTCTTAACAAAATGTCTGTAAATAACATAGGAAAGCTTGCACCAATATACTTAAAAAGCTTGAACAATCCTGACTGCTTAATAGCACACCAGCTCTACTCAGCTAAAATTAATGCAAGCGTGGAGCATGCATCACCTCCTCACTCCTACACACACCATTTCCATAAAATGGGGTGTACAGGCAGCCCAGACTGCAGAGGCTGAAGAGGGATTTCCTGCACTGTGTGCCCATGGCCAAGCCACACTCCTCCACACAGAGGTGTTGAGGCTCTGGCAGGGCTGCACAAGATAGAACATACAGTGTCATTTTCCCACGGAGCTTGAGCTAATAAGCAGAGATTGTACAGCTCAGGCGATGATGCAGAGACATTGGGACATCACACAGCCAAAAGCATCATGGGGTCTGCAGGGTTTATCAGCCTCTAGCAGGACCTTGCTCAGCTTTACAAGTCAGCCAACTGTTCATACTTCACTTTTTTAACCCATGTTATACAGGTTATGTCAAAGAGGGAGATAGTCCAGCAGCTTGTAGATCCCTTTATTTCCTGTGTTCCTTGAGACAGTGCCAAAGCCTGTGCCAGAGCATGGCCTCACAAGCTCTGGAGGGCTCTTACACTGTACATGTTGGGTGAGATGAATTTCTGCAGTGCAGTCTTTCACAGTTTCTACCAAGAGACCATGCAGTGAGCAGATACAGTTCAGCACAAAAACTAGTGCACCGCTCTTCCTTTGGCATCTCAAAATGTGCCATCTTACATTTTAATAAACCAGAAATTAACAGTGCAAATAAAAGAGGGAAACCTTACCCTGCAGAATAACTGATTTGAAGACTACATAGATGCTGAGCAACACTACAATACTGCCAAAATACTAAGAATTCTTATTTATAGGTTTTTACTTAAGATTCAAGATGTATTTTTCAGCATGACCACAGAAAATCCCCCCCAAATTTACTATTCTAACCTTATCATGTTTGTCCTAATTTGTCTAGTCAGTCCTTTTACCCAACAAGGAGCTCCACTTCTGAAGGGATTTTGCAATAAACAGCTGCACAAAAACAGAGACACACCATTGATTACTTAAACCCACTTTTGAGCACTGAAGATCATATATGATGAGACATTTCTCTGGAGCAGACAATTGATGTATCTTGTTTAACAGCTTTGAACTGCACTTCCTAAAAGTTTTAGGCCCTATCCTAAAAGGGCCTTATCTATATTAACTATGGCTTACTTGAAAGGCAATCCTCCAAGTCACCATTAACTTAAAAAATGTAATATCCCAATTCAGTAGTGACAACCTTTATTTGATTTTGCTGATATTAGCAAGAAGACAGCACAGCTGGTTCGGTTACTAAAGCCTCTGATTTTTATTTAAAAGCAAGTTCCAGGGCTTTACTAATGAGCATGGCAACATAAACCAAGTCTTAATGATACTGCATTTTATTAGGGTGAAAAAGCAAAAGCTTCAAAAATAGAAGCTCATTAGTGTTACTCTTCTCCTTTGCTTTTCCAAGCAGCTCACTTATAGAGGTGACATGTTTTAGACAGACATGCCAACTTCTTCTTTAGAGTGCAAGAGATGTTCTTAAGTGATAAGTGATAAGACAGAGGCCAGGCCTCTTTCTTTTCTATAAAGAAGGAAAACTCTGCCAGAGTGCTTCTGGCATAACCCCATTCATTTTTCCTGCAATGACAATTGATAGAGAATGAAAGCACCCTCTGGGACGTGGAGGGCTCAGTTTCCTTTGGCAGTGGGTTTGATTGGAAGCAAACCTAAATAATTCCACTTCAAAGGAGTGAATAAGGAATATTGTTTTGGAATGTCAAAAACACACACATTAACCCAAACCAATCTTCACAAGAATCCTGAAGTGTTAAGATTGCTTAGCTAAAAAACCAAACCCAAACCCAAAACCAAACAGGAAGATCAAACTCAAAACAACCACAATGTTACTGATTGAGGTATAGAAATTGGTCAACAGTACCTTAAGATCAGTGGGTGGAGTGGGAGGGATGGCACAGGGGAAGGCTATCAGACAGCATTCAGTAATGCCACCTGACAAACTTACAAGACCTATTCCAACAGGGGAGAAAAGTACATGACTATCATGGCTGCCTTAAAACCTCCAGTCTGTTTGTTGTTGCTAAACAAACTTCATTACAACAATCATCACTTTTCTATCATTTATTTCAGTTAGGTGAGGTACTTCACATTGCTGTATTCAACTGTGTGTGCCCTCCACAGTCCTACCATTTGAATTTCTTAATGTGCCTTTTTGGGGGGAAAAACCCATGTCATTTTTCCACATATAATATAAATAGCAAACATTGGTTTAACTAAAGTTTTTTGACAATTTATTAACATTATTAGACTTGAGAAACAAAGTGAAGTTTTATTCAAAATGTAAACATTAAGATAATTTTAAAATGTTAGTGCTTACCAACAGTAAGAATAGTCCTTTTTCTGCCTATTTTCTTCCACACATTTATTTTAAAACAATGCACTGAAAAAATGTTTTTTTCACTTGAGTCACCTGAAGAAGTTCTTATAGTATTCTTGCACCATTATAAATAAAGGATGGAGATAACCTCATACTCCAAGTTTTCAGCCATATCACCATACTCCACTCAGAATGTTACCTGTGTATGATACAAATGATAATCCTGCTCTGAAGCAGCTCATCATTATTACAAGGAAATACCACAGATAGTAAGTCCCAAAACTTTTAAGGGGGTGGAAGGGAAAAAACCCACCACATAAAAATCTTGCACAAAATGCATGCCTGTATAGAAATACCCAAAGTTGCAGTAGGAACAAGCAGCAAAATATAGCAAGGACAAATGCAAAGTTTATTCCACGTATGCTACAATTAGTCAAGATGTTAGGGAAGTATCAAAATTTGTACTATTAACATATGGCAACGGTTTTATTCTTACAATACATTGCAATAGAGTTGCCTCACAGGAAAAGGCTTTTAAGCTGCAGACAGTGCAATTGCATTGAATCTTAATTCTTCTGGGTCACGTTCCATGAATTTCTTGCAAACTTCTATTGCATCCTAGGGGAAAAAAGTACAAAGAAAACCAAAATGAAAAACAATATAAATCATATTTGTTATTAAAAACCAAACAAAACACAACTGAAAATGAAGATATGCTTTATCCAAACTAGGCCCAAAATGGATTTTTCCATAAAGGTTTACTAAATAGCGTGACAAACCTACATAAATGGTATTTCTGATGTGAGTTACCATGACTCAAGATTACTTACAGTGCTCATATGGGCAGCCTAAAAGAAAAAGTTTTATGAAGGACCTTTAGCAATGATGATTTTTGTGACTGAATATTACTTTGTGCAGCAGATATGTTGCTTTTCTGACTTTCTAAATGCATCTCTGAAGTTTGCCTTAACTAGTATTGCTGCCTTCAGAAATTTTTCCTTTGTTTCAAGATGAATCTAAGCTGGGTGGGGTGATTGAAAGATTTTAAGTAATTCCTTCATCTAGCTTTAGGGTGCAATCTGGAGAACACATGTTATCAGCAAAAACAGGAAAAAGACACATAAGGAATAAGGAAAGCTTTATCCAATTTCTTCCCCTGTCCAAGCAAGCACAAATTATTTGCAAACTTTACAGACATTAGTCTATGCTTCTAGACTACAAAATAATTTTCTATTTTGTTTGTTTTAGTTTCTCTGGTTTCTTCCTTTTGTAATACTAATTCAATCTGGATATCATAAAACTCAGATCTATGCATTGACTTCTCTCAGCTTCAACTCTGCATCATTCTGGGGGGATGACAGTTTATTCTCCCAACTCAGTGTATCCCTTTCCAATTAGTTTCTGAGCTCATGACACAAAGAAGTACCCAAAAGAAGCTGTGAAAGTAGAGAACGATCATTAGCAAGGGTCAGAAAGGAAATCAGCTTCTGTCAGCATGACACCTATCGAACTATAAACCAAAGGAAAGAGAATGAAAAATTGTAAGTTTTCAGTCTGCTAACTTCTTGTTAGATGTACTAATTGAAAGGAGCAGGAGTATATGAAAATCTAAGCACAGAAGATAAGTCAGTCTGATCTTGTAGTTGACCCTTATGATATTTATGTTATGATACTCTCTCATCCACAGCCACAATGTAAGTGTTCCAAAGTATCTCTTTTCAAACCTAATTTGGCCTCACCATCCCACTTGCTCTATTCCTCATCCAACTATAAATATAGCTAGACTTGTACAGGTATTTTCATATATCTATTTGATAAATTTTGTAGAAACACAGCAAGAATTTCATATAGCACCATTTAAGAAGGTTCTGTATCCCTACCTCTAAAAAAGAGTCGTCGCTGGTTTCCCCATGGTTTATTGGAAATGGCTTGCGCCCATCTGTTGGAAGACAAAGTGGGACTGAATAACACATTTATAGAATTATAAAAGCTTTGTTTTTTCCAGTTAAAACTATTTAAGCAGATCTTTTGTACTTCGCTTTCCAAAATGCTATCACATTTTTCATAAAGTTCACACATGCAGCTAGATGTTCCCTGGTCTCTCCACTGCTGACTGCTTCTACCAGTATCATTACATACAGTCTATTGCTTTTAAAAAATAATCCAATAAAAACAATGAAATATTTTTCAGTATTTAATTTAAAACTTCAAAGCTGTAAGATGCTGTTGGTTTAGTGCTTGTATAGTACTTCAATTTTCAAATAGAATAGAAAAATTTCAGCTACGCTTGATGGATTTACACAGGTAGACAGCTGAATGTCTGTGGTGTTTGACAGCTGTGATCAGGGACTCCACAACAGACCAGAGTAGCAAACCCACCATTCTGAAGAGTCTGGCATCACTGAAAATGTTTCTTTCATTTAAAGTAAATTAGCAAACAAAACCCAACAGCTCTAAATATTTAGTATTTTCACAGCATTTAAACAGGATTGCTATGGTTATTTTTCTTATATGTTTTTTTTCCTTGCATTTTCAATAGAATAATGCTTGTCATTCTCAACATTTAAAAAAGAATTTCATTCATATAAATATGCTTCAGGTTACTTGCAATGAGTTAACAGTATGAAAACTTATGTCAGGTTATCTGAAATATTTCATTAAAAATATAAAACAAAATCGCTTTTGGCTCTCCCTTCCCTGTAAAAGGCTTTTCCCTCCCCAAAGATGCCACCAAAGTTGACAACACTTCCAAACTACATTTTCCGTAACTAAAAAAAGATTTGATGTTGAAAAACATTTGGATTTATATGAACAAGATGTTGTTCATTATTGTAACTACCAGGGCTGCAGATACAAGGCAGAACCCTCAGAAAATGCCAGGGAAACAGAACTGAATTCCTTGCACTGTTGCAAGTTTACCTTAATTTTGGGGCTTTTTTGTGTCCATATTGGCAGAACATTTTAATTTCACGTGTCTATAAATAATGTGTTTTCTATGACTGAAACATCACATATATTTAATATCCATGTGCTTCCTTAGCATTTTCTGCATGCCAAAGCCCACATGCTGCCCACACTGTCTGAAGCCAGTGAATCAACTGAAAAACCTTCCATTTTACTACTTTTAAGTTGGAGGTTTTTTGCTTCCTTCCACTGGTACACAGAGAAGTTATTTTAAGAACAAGAGAAACAGTACTATTGACATTCCACTGTACAGCAGAGCTAAATGCCTCTTCTTCTTATTTGTTATTTTTAGGAAAAATTCAAATGGGGCTTCTCTCACATCATACCTACAGAAATTGGGTAAACGTGCTCATCATAGTATATAGTCAGCTTTTCAAGCAGCATAAATTCATGGACAATGAAAATGTATCACAGCACACAACCAGAACAAGTGAAAGTCATCCCTTATGCCTTGAAATCTAGAAAATCTAGAGCCATAAAATATTTATTGCATCCTACAGTACTTACCTTTTTGATCTAGTCCACCGACAGATAGACAGCATCATAAAATACAAATATGTGTGCCTAGTGATTATGACTTATCCCTGCTACTACCCCTTAGATCAACTTAATATTACCATAGGCACTTCTTACATATTGCTTATGCCCCATGCTGTGATTACTTATCACCTGTTAAGGGCATTGCTTAATTACATGCTGATTTTCAAAAGATGAAAGTCTTATCACCATAAAATACTGCAAAAATTATGTCAGGAAAGATCAGTGACTTGCAGTTTTTACATGCTGATCTGCTTGCTGGGTTTCTGAAGAGCCTGCTGGAAAACCTAGTTGCCCAGCAACATATTTAAGATTGGAGCCATTAGAGAATATCTGAGCAAAACTAAGTGCTACACAATCTGAACAGGAAAAAATAGCTGTATTTCAAAAAATAAGGACTATTGTTGCACAGTTAACTGTCTACTGACCACAAAAAGTAGAGGAAAAAATACCAGACTGTTACAAACAAGTTGCAGTGTTAATATCTCTTAGTAACCTGAGTACAAAATTTGAGTTTAAACATTATCACTTATGCTGTGCTTAATAAGCTGCTTAATAATACAGCTAACATTTCTGAAGTGGCACACAGTTAATTTAATACTTCCACAAGCAGCTCGGGAACATAAACATAACAAATGTCCTGTGAAATTCTGAGTGTTTATCCATTTTTCTTGCTTCCTGTCCTTATAAATGCCCATAGAAGTTTGGATGCAGTCTAGTATTCTGTACCATTTTATCTTAACAGGATGGAGTTAAGGGAAGGAAAACAATAAGACCCAAAAAACAAACCAAAAATCCTAATAAACAAACAAACTCCCCCGCCTCCAAAATAATCCCCAAAAACTAAGAAGAAGGCTGCAGTTGTTTGAAAGAAATCCCCAGACCCTAAGATGCAGCTGAAAAGAACCTAAGCCCAACACAACATCAAGAAATCTCTCTGAAAGTTTGACAGTTAACAGCATCACTACTTGAATTTGTTTCTAAAAAACGGAGAGTGGATAAAAAGTGTTCTTACCCAATTCATAGAGATGACCACCTACATTAACTAATGCAATAAAGTGAAGATCTACTTTTTCATCTATACTTGGAGCCTGCAAGACAAAACAAGACAAAAAGAAATTGTGTTTATTGAACTCTTATTGCTATATGATTAATGAGCATGTATCATCATAATATAAAATATACCTGGACAAAAGAGATTACGATTGGGAAGCACATTCTGGATCTATATAGAATGGCAGAAGTCAAGTGAGGAACATTTTGGAATACAAAGGAACTGTCGGCAATGCATGTATCAGTAAGAATCCATGCATTAAAGTATCTGGAAATACTTCTGATTATAGCTCTACATAAAAGCTCTATTTTTCATTACTGAATTAGAAGTAAAATCAGCTCAAATACATAAACATCAAAAATAGACTTTCATATAAATAACTAATCCTTCACTAATCTATCTCCCACAACAAAGTGATGCAGGACTCAACTCTGAAATGGTAATATTTCAGAACTGAAAATATTCACTGGTCAAAATAATTTTTTCCTCATAAGCCAACCCCAGTTAACCAGTTTCTTCTTCACAGGCTGTCAAAACAAACACATCTTAGGTGGGGAGGAAAGATAATAGCCAGAGGTGCCCAGACTGAATTTTGCACGTGGCATCATACTCATTATACCCAGTAAGGACTGAAGTGCAGTGACAGCACCAAGTGACACAACATAAAAAATGGTTACAGTGAGTAAAGATCCACCTAGCCCAGAACTGTGCTGGCAACTACCGCAAGCAGCAAAAGCTTTTGCAGAAATTTGTGGGCATCCAGAGCAACGTGATCCACCAACACACGTTCCCAGCACCTGCTGAGCAGTGGTGTTGGAACCTGTGAGCCAGAAGATCATTCATCACTTCTGAGCCAAAAGCTCTATCACCACTGTTGTGTTTAATAGCAACTGATGGTGTTACTTCCTTATCAGTCTGTCCAGTCTGCATCTGAACACAATTTAAGATGATATTGTTTTGATCAAATGGGAAAAAGGACTTCAGGTTTTCTTAATTACCAAAAATGTGACTTGTGTGAAAATCTATTTCATGTAATTTTCTTTCATCTTTTAATTACTTCTAGGCTTACATGAATTTTCTAAAAGACTCCAAAAATGTACAAACTTGCTAAAAACAGATTAGAGTGTAAAATAAGTTGTAGAACCTCCAAGTTGTATCATCTTCTAAAGACTGGGCTCAAAATTTCCTTTTTGATGATGGCCATGAAAAAAGACTTTAAAAGATGATATAAATTGAAGAAATTTGGCACACAACCAGAACAACAGAGTGAAGGACAAGAAGTCGCTACAAGTCCTTCAAATACATTAAGAAGGCCAACGAATGCAGTGCTGTGGAGGAAATGCCAACAGCTTACAGAAATTCTGTGCAGCAAGCTCAAAAGTGGGAAAAAAAGGAAAAGAAAACAAAATACCACACAACTTCCCTTCACTCTCATTTAAGATTTATCTCCATGACCAGTTAGAAGTGTGAAAGGCACAAACACCCTGTTTCATCACTGTTTCAGAGAGCCTAGAATGGAGAAAATGCATTCTGGCCACTGAAGATGAGGCATCTGATATAAAAGGGGCAAGAGGATCTTTCCACCAGAAATTCAAGCGGTCTAAGGCCTTTGATAATTTTGTTTCACAGAAAGCCAAACAGAGCCAGGACTTAGCAAAACCAAACAGCCCCAAGAACTTGACTACTCCAGTTGCAAACTTCAAAGTTTGCAAACTATGGAAACCACAAGTTTCCATAAAACCACATAAGACAGCAGGTAATGTCCAATTGTTGTTATTGCTATTGACCACCCAACTTTTTACAGACATCTAAACTGTAGTGCTACAAAAGTGTGCAGGCAGGCAAGGCTTGTAAAATCCCACATTGTCACCTAATTCCCTTCACAGACATACCGCTTCACAGCTGTTCACTTATCAATTAAACATATCAACTAAGAAATCTGGGTTTAAGAAATGTCATGGTTAGGGAGAAGACCACTGCCAGTTAGTGTCACTTTAGGAAGGAGGTGGCTTAACAATTTAAAGCCTACATCTAAACATACTTCTACCTGGGCTCAAGGTGACATGAAGCAAAAGGAGTACATCACTATTTCTGAGGACTTTGAGATGGTCAGGAATTGATTTTTACTACGTTTAGAAACAACATATAGTTGCCCTTTTGACCATTTTGGGTGTTAAGTTCTTTGCCAAATTCTAATAAACACCCTTTCTCTAGAGAGACACCATTGGCATGCTTGGAATGCTGAGGCTATATATAGAAAGAAGATGAATAAGTAAGCCATCAAAAAAAGCATGACTGACTTTTCATAAAGTTTACTTAGAGACAGACTGCTACAGAATCCTGCTGAGTTTTTGTACAAGACTAATCTAAATAACATGCTTTCAGTGTGCTATTGCCATAAACCGTGAGAAATGCTGTGTTTTTACATTTTTGATTCCCCAATCCCAGAGAGAATGAAAGTGCCATGCCATTATTAAATTTTCTACCATATGTTCTAGTGTATGCAGTCTCCTTCCATTAAGATTTCTTTCCATCTAATCTAGATAGCAGTAAAGTTAATTTTTATACGTCTTGAAAAAATAGGATTTCAATAATTTTTGACAGAAAAAATTTGCATAATCATAAGCACAACAAAACACTAAGGTCTAAATAGTCACAATGACCTAAAACTTTGTATCATAAAAATCTGCTGCTCATAACTTAAGCAAACAAGTAACTGGATTAATCTTTCCCAATGTGATGAATCCAATTCAAAATCCCTCCCCTCCTTAGGGAAAAAGCCCCCAACACATCCATATGTGTGCAAGCACACTCAAACACACACAGACACCACATGAAAAGCCTAGTCAGGCCAATTTCCACTTCACTGGGAAGCCCTAAAAATTCTAACACTTGAACCAGAAGACTTTAAATTTCAAAGGAATGGAAAAAAGTGGGAATGTCAGCTCCAGGGAGATGTCTTTTGTGGTCTCCTCAAAAAGCTACACCTTTGGCCAAGTTTTCAAGTTTCTAATATAGTGTCTATGTGAATGTTTAAAAGAAAAAGGAGCATAGCTTTAAGTCCTCCTGCACATTCATCACGAAGTATTGCTTAGAACAGTTACAGAGGATTTTCTCCTGACTGCTCTTCTTGTCAAAGACCACAGTAGCACAGACATCAATCAAATGTTCAGATTATCTGTTCCTCTAGATTCTTTCACTTAAAAGCCCAGTCGGTGTGCAAAAGGAAAAAAGCACATTTGAAGGACCACATGTGTGTATGAACCACAAGGAGAACAACATGGGAGTATAAATCATGTGATTGTCTAATTAAGATTTGGAACTGACCTATGGGATTCAAGACTCATTTTTCAAGTCTTCTGAAGAACTGTCATGCTGAGTACTGGAAATGTATACTTCTCTCCTATCCAGGAAAGACATAAAGAGGAAGAATACCAGCACCTTGAGTAGCTCACAAAACCTCTGTTATGGTTGCAATCATAGTATAAGAAGTAAGTTTTGGTAATTGGGTCAGTAGACATAATTTTTCCAATTTACTTCTCCAAACTAAAAACATGCTAAAAATTAAAAACCAGAAGACTCAAAACTGATTTAAAGAAGAAAAATATAAGTTCAGTACTCAAAGTGATGGTTCTGAGAACATCATCTCAAATGTAACTTTTTTCCAAGGAAATAAGGTAACATTCAATGACAATAACACAGAATATTTTCATGAATACTCAGTTGCACACACAAAAGAGACAGCCAAGGTTGTCTGCCCTCTAATTCTGGATATCACATTAAAAGTACTTAGATATCAGAGTCCCTGTTTTTCAGAGGATTTGACTGCCTTCTCTGCTAACCTGGACATTCAAATTGAATAATAAACAAGTGCTGACCTTTGTGAGAAATCAATTTGAATTGACTTGTCTCAGGTCAATACCCATTAGTTCATGCTATTGAAACAGAACCTCTACATTTCTTCCTCTAGCAGGAATCAAATCTATAATTAAAACTGCATTTCCCAAAGTTTTCACAATATAAATGTTAACCCTTCCTATGCCTTCTTGTACTAAGAAACTCCTTTAGTTTTACCTTTCACCAGTGCATGCTGCCCTCTCCTCATGAACTAAACCAGTCTTTCCAGTTGTTGCACTAACCTTCAGAAACTCAATGGTACCTGCCACATCACTGTTTCCCCAATCAGGTCAGCCTGTCTAATAAAGTATATTTCATCACCTGCACAGTTTCTCTTGCAATGCACTTAGACCATCATCCCAATCTAAAAGTTGGTGTTCAACTTTCATGCATTTTAAATCTTCTGATCTTCAAATGTTGCTAAGTCAAGACATAACTGTTTGTCAAATTTATGTGCAACTGGTTTCTTTTCCTAAGAACTTCATTTCTGTGACAAACTTACAACTGAGAAAAAAAATGGTCTTGCTCTCATGGATCCACTGAACAAGGCTTACCACAGCCTGCTTAAAATGTATTTATAAAAGACCACATTATAAGAGCAGATTCCGTGTTACATGACAGTTTTCAGGCAATTTCTTCCAACTATATCTTGTATTTTTATTATTCCCTTACGCTTGCTTTTGAAAGGAGAAGCAAAGCAAGAAGCCTCACAAACCAGTTTAGTAGAATGCTTTGCAATACAGGTAGTGACTGGGAAAGGAAAAAGTCACTCGGTGTTCAGTCAAGAAACTGGCATCAAGAGTCTGTTAAGCTATGGAAGAGATAGGGAAGAGACAATTTTGCAGAACCTTCGAGAATAAAAAAATTCAGATACATCCAATTGAAAGATCATGACAAAAGCATCTACAGTTTTAAGAGAAGAAAAAACCTTAGAGTTTTGTCTACACCAGATATTACAAGAAGCCAAAGGAAAACAGATCCAAAAAAGAAGACTACTAGGTGTGGTTTATATTCAATAAATTCTGAAGTAAAATGGAAAAAGTGATGCAATTGCTGTTGAATAGATCAGACATCTGTAACTTCTGTTTTGCAGCATGGGATGTGCTTGGGCAAATACACTGTGTAGGACTGTGAAAGGCA